GCTTTTTACAACATTTCTTACAATACTATGTAATATTATATCTATATTATTTCCGTGCTAAACTAATAGGAAAATGACGGGCCATTATGTTAAACACATAAGCATCTCAACCAATGCGATATTCACAAGCAAAGTGTCTTCAATGTAATGTGTTGTTATTATCGTATTAGGTTAAAGATATCACCATAAGATTCCTTCTGAATGGCAGAATTTCTCAATCAACATGATATCTCACCTACCCCATAAATACAAAATTTCTTCCTGTCCTTCCCCTTTGTCCTCTACGAGCTCTTAATTAACAGAATCTATATGGCCTACTAATGTACTGGGTCATGACATTTAATTTGCAATGTACTGATCATGACATTGTCTAATGCATTGAGACATCATAATCATTCAGTGATCCATTCTATCGGATATACAGTTATCAATTACTGTATCAAAATTTTCAAAAAATGTGACTCCAAATAAGACAGTTTTCTTCTGTAACTTTTTAATTTTTATGTAAAGCTCCAACGTTTTTCTTTTTTAGTTCCTCTTTATCTTAGAACTTTAATTCAAATTAAAAACCAAAAAAACTAACATACACTTTTCTCGTTATCTTCCAGGGATTAATTAATTAGTCTAGTTGAAAGTAATTTCTTTTGTATTAGCTAATATCTTTTACCAACAAAAATTTAATTAAATTAATACTCACTAAATTAAAAATTTTGATTTGAATTTAAAATTAAAAGTTTGAATATTTGTGATGTAAAGCAATTAATTTATCATTGTTAAAAAAATAAAAAAGGCTATCTTTTAATTTCAACATTAGTACTTGCATCCAACTATACAAGTGCTATATGTTTCAGGTCAGGTTATTGTTACGTCTTAGGGTGCCATATTATTATTATTATTATTATTTTTTGACTTTTTACCATGAATAAATGAAAAGGTTATGAAAAATGTTTGATATGGTGTTTTATGAACCATTATAAATTATTAGTTTTAATTAAAGGATTTTTTTTTTAAATTTGTATCTTAATTAAAGATATAATTATTGTATTTTTATATTAATTTATATTGAAAAACAAAAATGAACCTTTATTTAAACAATTGTCTTATTAAAAAATTCACATGACTGGTGGTAAAATTAATGGCAAATTTTATATTTTTCAATACTAATTAATATTAAAAAAATATAATAATAACATATTTAAAGGCACATTTAAAAACACATGTTAAAAAAATCTTTAATAAAATAGATTAGTTATTTTAGATTATAAGTAATAATTATTATATATGCTGTCAAATATTTTATTAGTAGGTAACAACTGGTGCTAGACAGCTAATACAAACACCCATTGTGACAATGATGTTTTTAAAAATTCATTAATTAAAAGAATATAAAAAAAGAAAGTATTAACACATAACAATAGATAATCTTCTCTCATTCTTTAATCATTCCTCTTTATTTGTGTTACATATCATTTAAATTCAGAATATCTTACTCTTATATTAAAAGAAGAGTATCATTTTAATACTTAAGTCATTAACTTTATGTTAATATTGTTGAATGTCGATCAAAGATTGATATTTTTAAGATTGGAAGCAAACAATTCCTTATCGATCCCTTAATTTCAACAGGGGTTTTCCTGAACCAATAACCAAATTCAATGGCCGCAAAAGCAGAACACTTATTTTCGTCTCATGATTTCGGCATTTATGTGGTCAGATCATAGACCACCTGACTGTCTTTGTACCAAATAATCAGGGAAGTAATTAGGGAAGGGCAAGCAAGGTGTCTCTTTTGGTGAGGAAAGGGACCATAAGTGGAGGGTAACCTAGCCCTAAGAATCTCAATTGTGGAGACGAACTGGCCCCAACATATCCTGGCTGTAATAATGGCTAACATATTTTATATATAGGGCACTAACAAAAGACCAAACCTTTTCTTTTCCCCTTTTACTAGGAATATTTGGATGCAAAGGCATGCAGGATTAAAGGCCCATACCCAGAAAACAACCGAAAAAGAGACATAATATATAAGACAAGGTTTTCAACTTTTCATATTTTCCTGAGTTGGAATTCCACCATAACTACCTTTCTTTTTGTTACCCTAATCAGATTCAAATGCCACAGTACTTCTCCCACTATCTTCTCAAACTCTTGTCCATGCCCCCAAGTTCAGAAAATAGCTTACTTTTCTTTATTGCTTCCGCATCCCTTTACTTTTTCAACGTTATAGTCTCTTAATTTCTTCAGAAGAATCATTAAACATGAACCTCACCACAATGGTTAAAAAAAGCCCATCCACTTTTTAGGTAAACCAATTGTTCTCGGTCCTTGTTATCCCCAAATGCCAAAAAGGAAAAGAACAAGAATTACATGCATGATGATCATTATGGAACATTTGAAAAATGAATACTCCTTTTGCTATTTTGTCAAATAATCATGATTCATTAGTAAATTAGCATTTTTTTAAGGATTAATTAACGTCTTAAAATTAAGGCATTCAAGCCCATTGGCCAAATATTTAATATAAAAGGCTTTCTCATTTAGTGACAAAGGTTCAAACTTGTGTTATCTCCCTTTCCATCCCCTTCTTCCACGAGTTGAATCACTTGTCCTACACTATCTAAAAAAAAATTAATTATATGCACATGCATCTAGTGTCGATGTAATTTGTGTTTGGGGGGCTTGTTATTCTCCATCATTTGTCCTATTAATTGGTTACCCTTCAACGATAATGTATAGCTTCAAGTTCATTTCAATGAAAAAATTCAAAATTTTTTGTACTTTCTTTATCAAAAAATAATTATCTTTTATAACATGTTTTTTTAACATATACCTTAAGAATACTAAGTAAGACTACTTTTTTTTAATCATAAATGCTAAGACTACTTTTTTTTAATCATAAATACATATTGAAAAATATAAATACTGACATTAATTTTACCATTATTGTTAAGTAAATGAATTTAATTAAACAGCTGATAAATTAAAAGTTAGTTTTTATTTTTCAAAAAGCATTAAATGCTCAATTTTTCCTTCAATGAAATGTAGGTTTAGATTTTAATTTTATCAATCATTACTCATTACAACCAAGATGACTCAAATGCAAAATCATAGAAATATCGTGTCACATGTACACAATTTATGAAAGTCCAGGACCAACCCTGCAAAAACGAAAACGTTCGGAAACATGGAAGAGCCGTTGAGGCTATCCCGCCAGTACCAACCTTTCCCATCATGTTAAGATTTCTAGTCTCTAGATTCTATTCCTAGGGACACGATGCGGTTTAATTGCGTAATAATACCACTTTTACACAGACATTTATAACGGACCCTGTAAAGTGCGAGCGTTAATCTGTCTGTCTCCGAAACACACCTCTCTGGAGCGTTACTCTGTACCATTCTGGGAACCCAAGTGCCACCTCCTTCTCCATGGGCTGCGCCACCTCCAAACTCTACGACATGCCGGCCGTCGCTTTCTGCCGTGACCGCTGTGACTTCCTCGAGGAGGCGCTCCGGCAGAGCTACGCCCTTGCCGATGCGCACGTGGCGTACATGAAATCTCTTGAGAGTCTAGGTCCTGCTCTCCGTTTGTTCTTTGAGCAGACTGTCGATTCTCCAGGCTCAACTGAGAATTCCTCGAAGCCGTTTTCTCCTCCATCTTCGTTTGATCGCTCGCCTTCAACCACTTCGAATTCTGATTCGCACATTCGATTCGATTCTAGTTCCGATGAGGAAGAAGGACACGGCGGTTCTGAATTCGAACTTTCTAACCATATCCATTCCAATTATCTCGATCGTTCAAGTCCAAATTTGTATTCTTTGGGGAATCATAACCACGGCACTAATGCAGACCGAGCGTTTGATTATTTCTCACACAGTAATGGATTCTACGATTCTGGATCGAAAACGCCACCGCCTCCTCCTCCGAGGAGCACAGCTTGGGATTACTTGAATTTTTTTGATGAGTCTTACCAGAGATATGAATTGCCTTACTCTGCCAGTGAAGCGGCGAGGGACAAGGGAGATAACAATCTTGAAGTTAAAGTTGTAAAGCAAATTCGAGGAGATAAAGATGTTGGCGTGAACTCTGCTAGTAAAGTGAATGGAGAAGAAAATGGGATTCCAGAGACTACACCAGTAGAGAAGAAGAAGGAGAAGAAGGAGAAGAAGGAGCAGCTTAAAGAGAGCAGTGATTCGAATGAACCAAAAATTGAAAGAGGAAAGCAAACAATCTCTGAGGTTATAAGAGAATTGCAAGTTTTGTTTGAGAAAGCTTCTGGGTCCGGCAATGGAGTTTCAAAGATGCTTGACACTGGAAAATTTCGTTATCATAACAACAAATCTGTTTACCAAGGTACACAGCAAAATTTCCTTTATTAAAGTTAGATTTCTGACTTTGATTCATGAAATAAAACTCTGAATAGTGTGGCTGATTCCTGTGATGCAGGTTCTTCAAAGATGTTGAACATGATTACTTCAAATTTTCCGGTAGAAGAGCCCTTGTTATCAACTGAGACGATTGGTTCTGATTCTGAGGAATATTGGACTGTGAATTTGGAGAATCTTTCTTCAACTCTCAAGAAGCTGTGCATGTGGGAGAAGAAACTCTATGATGAAGTCAAGGTGTGATTCATTATGGTCAAGTTACTTTTGATCTTGCTTTACTCATTTTCTTTTTGCTAAAAGTTATGCCTTTTCAGTGGATTAAATAATAAAAACAGAAATTTTGCACCAATAGGTGCTTGCAATATTTAATGGAGCATGTGCGTGTCTCCTGTTGTTGTTTAACATTGTCAAAACCTCTAGCACTTTTACTGCATCATCAAATGTCAGTATGTTATGCTGCTTTCTGTACTCTATAGATACTTACATGTCTTCAAATGAAATACTTCAATGGAGAGACAATGTAATGTTGTTTTGGCCTGGTAAGTCCAGAATTCCTATAGTGCTGAATTAATGCCGGGATACAATACCATCTGCTAGTTCTTTCATGTTCTTTCTTGATTTTGCAATATCTTATGGCTGTGTCATTTTCAGCTTTTAACGCGTGCATTGGATATGTTATAGTATTACACTTTTGTTGCTACTATCCTTACTGTTTTTGCCTAAGGCCCTAATATGCTGTTGATTAACAAATTGCTTAATTCTAGTGCGGCTACTTATATCAGCAATGGTGATGTTTTTTTTCTTTTTTTTATAGGCCGCAGAAAAGTTGCGTGTAATTCATTCAAAGAAGTCTAGGCAGATGAAAAGTTTGGATGAGAATGGCGGTGATGCTCGTAAAGTGGACTCCATCAGAACTTCAATCTGGACTTTATCTACTAAAATGACAGTTGCAGTTCAAGTCATTGATCGGATTTCAATCACAATAAATAAGTTGATGAATGAGGAGCTGTGGCCACAGATTTGTGAACTGATTCAAAGGTAAGTTATTCATTTTTCTCCTTTCTAATATTGTGTTTTGCAACTTGAAGTATCTTTGTATGAAACTTGTCAACATTCTGGTATGTGTGTGGAATCGAAGACCATTGCCTCCTTATTTTCTGAATAGATAAAAAGATGCTAAATTGTATAGGCTTAACAGGAATAAGAATGACATGGAGATTCGTTATTATTAAATTAAATATGAGCTAAATCTAAACATCTTGGAATAGGGAAATGAAGAACCTTGACTTATCTAGTGAAATATCAAATGCTGTTAATGTTGAAACTTTCCAATTGATGTTGTCATTTCTTACACTTTCTTTGTGGTGGCTAACTCAATTTAATTTTTTTAGATTGCTTGAAATGTGGAAAGCAATGCTAGAATGTCATGGGTGTCAGTATCAGACAGTTATAGAAGCCAAATGTTTGACTGTTGTTGCATTGAAAGGGAGGCTTGATGATGACCAGCTTGAAGTGGTAATGCAACTGAAACTTGAGCTACAAAAATGGTGTCTAACCTTCTGCATTTGGATTGAAGCACAAAAAGGCTTTGTCAAAGCTTTGAATGGTTGGTTATTGATATGTCTTCAATACGAACCCAAGGAAACAGCTGATGGTATGCTACCAGGCTCTGACAGATTAGCTGCACCCCCGTTGTTTCTAATTATTCACCAATGGTCTCAAGAAATGAATAGATTAGAAGAGAAGAAAGTAGTTGAAGCCATACATGAACTTTTCACGAGTGTAAATCATTTGCTGGAACAACACAATGCAGAATTGCAGATCGTTGACAAGGATACAGAAAGAAGAGTGAAGATCTTGGAGAGGAAGGAGCAAAAGATTCAAAAGATAGTGCAGGCTCGGGTGAAGAGGATGACTCTACTCCCTAGGGAAGAAACTGAACCCCTTTTAGCAAGAGAGGCCATTCATGCATATGAGAGTAAGAACACAAAAGCTACCAGCCTTAAGTTGGGTCTAGAACATATTTTTACAGCCATGGAGAAGCTTGCTTCCATCTCTACTCAAGCTTATAAGGAGCTGCACTTGTACAGTCAAGCAGGCAAGGCCACTCAAGTTAGCCCTGAACAGAATGCTTCTGACTCATAGATAAGGCATTCTTATGTCTACGGTATTTGCTAGCCTCTGGATTCGAACAGACTATAAGTTAACACAAGAAATATAGGTTGCCTATTTGATACTTACAAATTTTTGTCGTATCCTCCATAATATTGTTTGTATATGTTTCCTGCATCAAGTGTCTTCAGACGACGTCTGTGTTTATTGAAACAGAACTGGTATATCCTATATATGATCGTTTGGTGATTTTCTGTATACATATCTATGACCAAAGTCGATTAGCTGAATTCCAAATTCATATTTTTAGTCAGCATTTTATTTTCTTTAGAAAATGATAACTACTACGACAAAATTGGGTACATTTTTTTCTTTCGACTTTATGGACCATTTAATGAAAAGATGTATT